CAATTAAACCATGGCAACATTTAATGTTTGTATAGTATTATTTTCAGCAGACTGTGTTTGTTGTGACTTAGATGAAGTTCAGAGTACATTTTATGACCAATTCATGCAAAACTCCATGTAATCCCAAGGGGTTCACATACTTTTTCTTGCAACTGTAGCTACATTTGATCCCTAACAAGGCAATTATGACTGTACAGGCAGTCCTTGACTTAACAACTTTCATTTACAACAGCACTGAAAAAAGTGAATCATGACAGTTTTTCACACTTACGATTGTTGCATCATCCCTGTGGTCATGTAATCAAAATTAGGATGCTTGACAACTGGCATGTATTTATGACAATTGCAGTTTCCCAGGGCCACGTGATCTCCATTTGTAACCTTCCCAGCCAGCCTCCAACAAGCAAAGCCAATGGGGGAAGCAGATTCATTTAATAATTGCATGATTCACTTAACAACTGAGGCAAAAATAATCGTAAAATGGGGCAAAATTCAACAATTGCCTTGCTTAGCAATACAAATTTTGGGCTCGATTGTACCATAATCATGGGTCAAGGACTACTTGTAAACTTAGTCATAATGGAACATAATAGAGGGCTTAAGCCCAGGGGAAGCTTATGAGGGACTTCTAGTTAGCCATCAAGTTAGGTTAGCTAACTAGAAGTTAGCCACTTCTAATTAGCTAACCTAGGTGGGCTTTTGCCTAGCAAGGGTTCTGTGCTTTTATGTTCAAACTTTAAAGAACAACTTTCATAATAACATCTACAACTCAAGGATAAGTCCTCTTTGAGCAATGCTACTCTTTAAAGCAGTGTTTCTCAACCTTGGCGACTTTAAATCCTGTGGACTTCAACTCCCAGAATCCGCCTGGAGAATTCTGGGAGTTGAAGTCCACAGGACTTAAAGTCGCCAAGGTTGAGAAACACTGCTTTAAAGAGATGCATAGTGACTGAGGCATAGTCAATTTTGCTGAATGCTTTCCCTGGTTTTGGGTACAGCTATAGAAGACAGATGCAATTCTGAGAAAAGATACAGCTGCTTTAAGAAGATATTGATAGGGATTGTTAGAGCCCTCTTGCATACCATGAAACACCTTTTTTGTCTTTGGATTGTATTATTTATGCTAATTTCTAAAGTAGGCCTCTTCAATAGCAGGAAGACCTCCAGCAAAAGCAGTATTATTAGTAGCAAATATATAAAGCAGGGGTGTCCAATTCAACTGCCAGAATTTTCCAGCCAGAAATTCTGGAAGCTGAAGTCCACAAGTCTTAAAGTTGCCAAGATTGGATACCTCGGATGTAAAGCCATTGCGGTCTTCTCCTACATAGAACAGGGAGATCTAAATGCAAGCAAAGATTCAACCTGATAGGACATCAAGCTGAAAACTGAATCCAAACTCAACCCACAAATCAATCTAGTATACGTCTAATCCAGAGGTGATATTCTGCCGGTTCACCCTGGTTCAGGTGAACTGGTAGTGGAGGTGGCTCCGCCCACCCACCCAGATGTCATCATAGACTCTCTGCGCATGCTCAAAAGCATCATGCGCGAGTGCTCCCAGTTTCAAACTGGTAGCAAAGATTGGAGTATTTAATGCCTAATCTATCACATTGGTTATCAGCACTGGGTCTGTGGCTTGCTAATTGAGGACATTGAGACTTCTTTGTTCAGGCCATGCCCACCCATAGCAACTAGCCTTTACAGCTAACTAGAAAAAATGGTAATAACTTAGGATATATTCCTGAGCAATTGCCTGCATTTTGAATCCAGATCTTCCACATATTCCTTCTCCCTCTGCCAAATATTCTATAAAGCTTGGAAAATATTATTCTGCATTCTCAGTATGGTGGAGATTGGTTTCTCTTGACTGATTGTCCATCCTAATAATGAGTATAGTTTTCTCTTTACCTAAACATCTTTTCGGAACTGGATGTATTTTGGTTGCAAACTCCAAGAATATGAACTTGAAATGAAAATGTTTGTACTACACTATCCTCTTTCGTCCTGATTTAACCTTCCTCTTGAGAAGGACGTATCTTACATACCTAGAATCTCTTAACTTACTTAATGAGAGCTAATAAACACAAACCTCTTGGCTTTAATTATATTTTGCTGGCACAGAAGCCAAGAGAAAAGCCTGGCTAATGTCAAGAAGTCAGTTCATTGCTTTATTTTTTAATAAATAATGTGTTAAGGGCTTTGAAAATGTGAGTCATGTAGTTTTGCTTATTTATCAAACCCAGATCCTTATACAACATTATCACCTTCCAGTAGATATATATATGGCTAGCTGATGAGAGCTAAATAGCTTGAAATAGATCNATATGCTGACTCTGTAAACCGCTTAGAGAGGGCTGAAAGCCCTATGAAGCAGTATATAAGTCTAACTGCTATTGCTACAATATTTTTACCTTTTAAAAAAATGAAAATTTACCCAGGGGCTAGGGTGCTTTATCCTTTCACTCCGTGTTAATAATCTCTTCTGGCTTTTTTCCATTATGGGATTCAAAACGGTCAATTCATTTTAGTTGCTGCTTTCTTCGCAATTCCCTTCCTCTACAATGGCTTTTCTTTTGGAAGAAAGATAAAAGTGTTTTCTTAGGCTGTCACTGCAAGCAGTAAAACTTCCTGTTACAGGCCAATCTATAGGCATAATGCTCTCGTGTTCCCACAACACCAGGAGGCTTCAGAGCCAAGGTGATTATTAGCTTTGTTCCAATTCCAGAGGAGATGAATCCAAGAAAAATTTGTAGCAAGTCCTCTGAAATAGCGGGGCAGGTAGTTTTCCACTGGAATTTTATCAGCTCCACTGCATGTAGTCAAGATGCTGTTGGCATTTGTGACCTCCAGGGACCCACAGGTGTAGCTTTGTCGGAGTCCTTCGGGATTGGGCGGCCTATAAATTTATTAAATACTTAAATACTTTGCTTCTGCAACCAGGTTTTTTTTATTAGTGGAGGGGGGAAGCAAATTTGGTTAGAGCTGAACAGAGGTGAGGCAATCCCCCCACTCTGCCCATCCAATCTTTCTGTGAATCAGCTGGCCCAGCTCCATTGAAAGATGGGGTGCAGCTATATGGACCCTTCTGCAGTTATCCAAAGCTGCTTCTGGGCATTTAAGGGGTGTGGCTGGTGGCTGTGTAGAATTGCTTCTAAAAGCATTTGGCTCTTCCCTTGGTTGACATGACATCTGAATTCTCTCCCGTTGACTTGACATCTGAATTCTTTTCTTGCTATTTCATCATAATTGAAGGGTAATCCAATGAGTCTATACTTGCAGTTAGTTGTTTTAAGTATCTGACTGCTTCTATCTAATCCAAAACCCTTGGTTTATAACCACACCTTCTGCATGATACGAATTTGTTTTTGTTTGAACAAGCAGTAGCTTAAGAAAACAGGATTTTTTTCAGGTTGTAGATTCAATTCTGTCTTCTTTTTTTTTTTTTTTCCTTTCCAGGAGGAGAGATTCTGAGCTGTATAAGTTTGTGGAAAATTTATTCTATCATCCTCTATTCAAGTCTATTATGATCAGCAGCATTACGCTCAATGCGATATTCTTGTCTTTAGAAACTGATTATAAAGTTCGTTACGAGTCACATTTGTTCCTGCAGGTAATGAAAACTGCTGAGTGAGGTGGCCACAATTTCTCATTTGACTGTTCTGACGACATTTTCCCCCCCAGAAAAAAAGTCAAGGAAGATGAGGAGAAATCAAATTTTTAAAGAGTTTTCAACCAACTCATTGAGCAAAAGGCTATCAGTATGGATACAGTTGCAAGAAAAAGTATGTGAATCCCTTGAGATTATGTGGAGT